GAGCAGTGCCAGCAGCTGGATGGGGTATAATATTTCATCCCATCTAGGGCACAGAGTGGCCGGGCGACCGTGCCTATCTTAGGTTGCATATAAAATATCATATCCACTCCATTTTCCTTCTTAAACATTATATTCTCAACATGTTCCCTTCCCAGTTTCCTTTTATTATGTTTTTATCACCATTATTATCATTTTGATAACCCACTAAATGCCATTAGTGCCATCAATATATGTACATGATGGGGCCATTCGCTGCCATTCTAGACTTTGGAGCTCTCAGAAGAATTAATCATCCATTAAGCTCTGCTTATAGTAATCTAGGCCTTTCTTCAAATACCCATGAGTTTTCCAGTAAGCAGTTCTAGAGGCTTCTCATGTTGGAAGTAGTAAAGTCAAATGTCATTGGTCTGTACTAACATTGTGTTAGTCACTGTTGTAATGCTGAGAAATCTGCTTTAAAACAGGGAAAGGAACATGTTTATGGAGATTTCATTCCACAGTGGTTTGGCCTTTTGCAGTCTATAATTACCTCTCGTTCCTGGCACCTCAAGATCACTGTTATCCATTACTAAGTTTTGCATGTCAATAAATTTTCATAATTAAAATAAGTAGTGTTTATTTTCTTTGTCTTAGAATAAAGCCCTGGGATTTATCAATGATATGCATGTGTCTGTGTGTGTATATTATAGAACATATATTTATAACTTGATGCTTTTTGCTGCTAAATAGTATGCTAGAATATGGATTTACAAGAAGTTTAATTCACTCATTGCTTAATGGGAATATTGATTGCTTATAGTTTGAATATATTATAATAAATCAGCTGTGAAAATTAAATATAAGTTGTTATATAACATTTGTTTGAATTTCTAAGGAAACTAAGAGTAGAAATAGTGAGTTATGTAATCTTTATGAGACAGACGTTGTTTTCTAAAGCATCTTTAGAATTTGATGTTTCTATCATCAATGCACACATTTTCTAAAATATTCAACAATTGTATTATCAGTCTTTCCATTTTGTTCAATGTTTTTGTAGGTTTATTGATCTCTAAGTATGATTTTATCTTACATATCTCCAGAGCCTACAATTTTCATTGTCTTTCCAAGTGTTTATCTGACATTTGTCCATCTGACAAAATATCTATAGAAATTCCTTTACTATTTTAAAAATTAAAGTGATATAATTAGGTGTTCCTATTTACTCTGTACTTACATTAATAATATGTGTAATTTTTAAAAAATATTTCCCAGTATGTGGTTCTTTCTTTACTAAAGTTAGGTAAAACAACATTGTTTAATTTTATGACATGCAGGTTATTAATTTTTATTTTAAATTTATGTATTTCTTGTGTCCTAGTGACATATTTTTATATCACTCAAAATTACTAAGATTTTTCTCCCATTAGGCATTTTCAGCTAATTTATTTGTACTATAGAAAGTAAAAGTTTGGTTTTCTGTCTTTGAGTTATAATTGGTAAATAAAATGTCAGTTTTAAAATGTACAATATGATGACCATATAATATTTCTCTATATTACATATATACCTATATACACACACACACACAGAATCATGACTTCCAATGATCAGACTTCTGATTTCTCAAATTTGTGAATATGTGAAAATGTTATCTATTGAGTTTTTATCTTTTCTTAAATGAACAGCATGTAGTACTTCTCCAAATGTTGGGCCATAGTGGATAGCCACTTCTATGTAGCCATACTATTATGAAGGTAAACAACTGGTTCTTTATATGTCCCGTGTAGCAAATTGCTGGTTAAGTGTAGCTCTCTTCCATGCTCCTGAATCCATGGCAAGCAGTGTTCTAATCATTTATATACTTTTTGACATTGTTATATTACAAATATGAACAAAATCATATAGTGTTAGTCTTTCTATGCCTTGCTTGTTTCACATAGAATGATACCTTCCAGGTTCTATGCTACTATAAAGCTCAGAATTTCCTTTCTTTTTGAGGCAAATCAGTATCCTGTTGTATGCATGTGTAATTTCTTCATACATTCATCTATCAGGAAACACTTAAGGCATTAAGCTCAGGAATGCAGATAGCTTTTCAGACTATTCGTTTTATTCACTTTATAGACTGATAAATGAGATCACTGGATCATATAACAGTTCTATTTTTAATTTTCTTTGAAGAGCCTGCATATCATTTTACATAATAGCTTCATGGGTTTACATTTCTACTACTACAAAGGGCTTCAGTTTTTTGGGGTTTTTTATGTATTTCTTTTGCTGATGATAGCAATATTGTCAGGTGTAAGGTGATATTTCATTGTGGTCTTTATCTGTATTTCCTTGTATAATGATATTGAGCATATTTTTATTTAACTAGTTTCCAGTGTTATTTCCTCCTTGAAAAACACATATTCTGGTTATTTACCAAATTGAAAATAATTTTTCCATTTATAAGCAGTATTTTCACTGTGAATTTGTATAAGTGGCTTATATATTTATTTTAAATATTAATTATATTAGATACACATTTTCAAAACATCTACTCTAATTCTCTAGGTTGCCTTTTATTTCTTTTTCTAAAAGCTTCTCGGTTTGATGACTCCCATATATTTGTGCTTTGTCTGTGTTTTTTGTGTCATATTTAAACATTGCTATTAACAGTGAGAAGGAAATTTTCCCCTGTGGTATCAGGTAGACACTTTATGATTTTCGGACTTACACTTAAGTCTTTAACTTATTTCAAATGAACTCTAGTGACTGGCTTAAGATAAAAGTCCCAATTCATTCTTTTGAGTATGAATACATAGCTTGTTTGTTTGTTTGTTTGTTTGTTTAGATTTCTTTCTTTTCCTTTCTCTTTCTTTCTTTCTTTCTTTCTTTCTTTCTTTCTTCCTTCTTTCCTTCCTTCCTTCCTTCTTTCTTTTCTTTCTTTCTTTCTTTCTTTCTTTTTTTCTCCCTTTCTTTCTTTCTTTCTTTCTTTCTTTCTTTCTTTCTTTCTTTCTTTCTTTCTTTCTTTCTTTCCTGTAACTTCAGCCATACCAGAAGAGGGCATCAGATCACATTACAGATGGTTGTGAGCCACCATGTGGTTACAGAGAACTGAACTCAGGACCTCTGAAAGAGCAGAGTCAGTGCTCTTAAGCACCAAGCCATCTCTCTAGCCTGAAAACATAGTTTTTAGCACCTATCACTTCCTCCATCTTGTATTCTTGGTTCCTGTGCCAAGGATTAGTTGACTACGTGTCTGTGGAGTTACCTTTGTGCTCTCAATTCTGTTTCAATGTTCTATGTATCTATTTTATCACATTATCATCATATTTAAATAACTATAACTTTGCAATATACTTTGAAATGGTCTTTTTTTGTTGTTGTTTTTCGAGTCAGGGTTTCTCTGTATAGTCTGGGCTATCCTAGAACTCACTCTGTAGACCAGGCTGGCCTCAAACTCAGAAATCTGCCTCCCAAGTGCTGGGATTAAAGGCGTGTGCCACCACCGTCTGGCCGAAATGATCTTATAATGTCTGTAGCTTTGTTCATTTTTTAACAAGCATAGTTTGACTAATTTAAGTCTATAATGGTTCTATACAAAATTTTAACTAGAAATTTTATTGTGGAATTTCCTCCTTTTTGCAGCTAAATAAAAAATCTCCTTGCTATTAAAAAAATAGCATGTTTTCTTTACATGTTTATCTATCAGTGGACACAGATTGTATTCCTGATTGTTGTGAACAGCAATGCATTGAGTACAAGATTGCACATTTTCCAAGATGGTGATTTTGTTTACTTCACATACAAATCCAGATATGAAGTCACCATATCACATAGTTCTATTTTAAGTTTTTGAAACTTAAATTTTATGTAAACTACCCATGTTGTCTTTTAATTCTGTTTCTATGGAATTGTGTTTCAGCCCACAAGTTTTAATCTACTGATGTTTTCAGAATTAAAATGAATATTTTATAGGCAGCATATATAGTCAGCTATAATATAATCTGTCTTGATAAATTTGAATTAATTTATTCACTTTACATCTCAATCACTGTACCCCCTTCTGGTCCCCTCCACTGGCCCTCCCTCAAATTCTCCTCTGAGAAAGTAGAGCTCTCCCCCACCGAGGTGTCCCTACACCCTGGCATATCAAGCCCCTGCAGGGCTAGGTACCGCTTTTCTCATGGAGGTCAGACAAGTCAGCTGAGTTAGAATGTATTCTAGACACGCTACAGTTAATATTTACTTACTCTTCAGGTGACCAAAATGCCTGCCTAGGAAAGCTGCTTCAATTAATCAGTTAATAGGTTAGTCAAATTCATTTGACTTTTAATACATAAAAGAAAATAAGGAACAAAGATGAGTTGAAAATTTTTGTAAATCAAGTTGCATTTTTTTATGTCTATTATGGAATCAAACCCTAGATATAGGCCAAGTGTGCTGGCATACACTTTGTCTCCTGAGAGACCAATTTTGAAGATTACAATTCCAAGAGGGCCTGACTACATAGAGAATCCCTGCTTTGTTTGTTTGTTTGTTTATTTCTTAAAGCCAGAGGAAAGGAAAGATGAGACAAAGGTTAAAAGAAAAAGAAAATGATGAATTTGAAACAAAACAATCAGAATCTTATTTAGACACTTGACTGTTTACCTAAGCATCTGTGTCTATTTACTGTTCCTATTTCTTGACCTATATCCTCTTTGCATTGGAGAAAGGATTTATGTGATTCTTCTGTAAAACTATAAAATCAAGTTAAATACTGTGTTACTAATCACAGCTTAAATGAAAAACTTGTAATGAAGCATGATTACAGGCTATCTCTAATTTTTGCAGTAGTCAGTCATGCTTAATATGTTCTACTTAATCTATCTACTGTATAGTGGACTTGTTTTCTGACTGGGCTTGTTTAAAACACTAATCACTGTCTGATGTCCCCAATCTTAGATTATTTTCCAGTAATCTTATATTTAACTTTAAAATGAAAATAATCATGCATATAATATATTCTAGTTTTGTGTTTTTCCTCCTCTCAGAGTTGCATTTGGAAACTGCACTGGGTTGGTTGTGGTGGATTTCATACAGAAGACAGTACTGTTAAGCATGGGGACCATTGACCTCTATAGATCAAGTGACCTGTACCAGCGACAGCCCCGGTCTCCTCGAAAAAACAGGCAGTTCATTGCAGGTAGGGAACAAAAGAGATGGGTTCTGAGCTTGACTTGTTCACTTGGTTTTTGCCAGATTGTCTTTTCTTGTGTGATGCCATTCAAATGCATGCTAATACTGACTGAACACGCAAATACATGAATTTAGAAGAAACAGCAAAAAATCTTTAAACAGGCATGAGTGGTGTTTAAAGTTCAGTTTAAACTGTTGAAGTTTAGGAAGTATCTCAGGTTTCTTAGATTGGATTCCTAAAAAGCAAAACAAAAAAACCCAACAAAATAATAATAATAATAATAAAAATTGGGACTCTGGTTGAAAGTTCTTTAAAAATTCTTGGACAAAACAGATTAATTGTTCTCTAATATGATTAGTCACTTTTCATTTTTTAATTAACTATATCGTGGCCATCATCTATTCTTTACTGATGATGACTAAAATAGACATATGTTTATAAACATAATAAATACCATTCTCTGACATTTAAGTGCTATGAAACATGGCACTTTTCTTAGCAGGACAAGCAAATCAATTTAACTACAAGAGAAAAGAAATTTAAGTTTTAATTAGGATATGGCAACAAATTTCGATAGTCTGAATTATCCAAAATCTTACCAGAATTTCACTACATATCCGAATAGGTGGCTTTAATTTTCATAAATTTTGTATTTTTATTATTTACTGGAATATGCTAGTTTGTTAAAATTGCCTTAAAAGTTTGCTTCCATAGTGTTATGCATTTAGATAATGGTTTTACATTTCCTTTTAAACAAATAATGAACTGAATGTTGAGATCTTTACTAAAAATAGACATAAAATATTACTTCATAATATATGATAGTTATTTTCCAAATAGAAGATAGGTCAGTTATAACATCAAATAATTTTCCATCTGTACAAATGGTGTTTGATTAACACTCAACTTGTTTGTTAACTATTTTAGACACTTTGCTTAGGCACAGTATTTGTCCTCCTGAGCTTGCCAGGTTTTTATGTAGGGGATATCAGCTTTCACTACTGTCAGGATCCTGGAAATTTAAGCTTTGTGAGTTCTGTCTCTGTCACTACTAGCTTCTGAAAGAAAATCAGAGTAAGAGCTATTCCTTCATGTTGAAAAACAGGTGGCTGCTTTTGAAAGTTCTGAATGTCTAGAAGGCTATAAAGATGTCAGGGGCAGGTAGCGATGTGCTGCTGCAAGGCTGGAAGCAGTGATGGTCAGAAGATCTCTGCAGATCTCTGCCAACATCTCAGCTACTTGTCTGGATCCACACAGAGGTAGAAAAGTGACTATTTTGACTAGGAAAACTTAATTCAACTCATTGGGTAATTCAAACTTATTTGGTCTCCACAATAGTGATTACTGATTAGAACTGTGATATAGGGAAAAATTGATAAAGTTGTAAACATTTATGTAAACATAAAGTCTCTCTATTTTATAACAAAACCAACAAGTACATACTTTATATTGTAACATAATTAAAAAAACTAAAGCATCTAAGCTGTCTTTTTAATTGTTCAAAGATTAAATATAATCTTAATAATAACAAAGTAATTTTATATAGTATCACAAACCAAGCAACTCCATAATGGTAAAAATCATGTAAGAAGAGTATGCCATGAATTTTATGAGAGCGTTTGATTAAATAAATTGGCTACAGCATTCTCATCATTCATCTATCACCTTTCTAATTGATTTATTTTTAAAGTATCTCCTCTCTAGTTTGATTGCCTAATCTTGCTACAGTTTCTTCACCTTGGCTGTTGTAGATTCTGGTATGATACCACTTCCTTTCACTTTAGACTATTCTCTCTCTTTCCTCTGCCTGCTGCTGCTGATGCTGCTCTGGCATGCTCCAAAGACAACTTTTGCATGCGTGGGCTGTCTAACTTTTATCCTGATTTAACGAAACGGATCCGTACTTCCTATCAGAGTAAGTTCTCTAAAGGTTAGGCAAATCACTTTTTTTTTTAAAGTCGTAATTCCTAAGCTAAATCAATTCATGAGTGCTTAGTAATGTGTTTTTTTAAAAAAACACATTCAACATGCATGCTAATTTTTGTTGTTATGGAAATGCAACCTGGCGTTTTGATCATTTTATTTTTTAATTTTCAAAATTTTGATTTAAATATTCTAAATCATTGTCATGTGCCCACTCACCCAGCCTTTGTCTCTGTGTTCATTTCAAACCATGTCCTATCAGTCCAGCAGTCATTCTGCTTCCTTTTAAGAAGGAAGAGCTGTGGTATTCTTGGAAATAGTGACGCTGACATACTGTGTCAGTGACAATTCCGTGCTTCCTTATTTTATCACTATTGTGCTTTGGACCATTTTGCAACCTTATTCTAATTAGTGTAACAATATTGTTTTATAATTCCTAATTTATGGTGCATTTTATTAAAATAGAGTACCTCAAAACACATTTCAATGGTGATTTTAGGTACCAAACTCTGGTACATTGAGGAATTAAAGTCATAACTAACAGGTGAATAATATTAATTTTTTTTCTATGCTAGCAAATGAAGATGGAAAGATGGGTGAAATAAACTAATTCTAAACACTGGTGCAGAAAGTGTGATGATATGTCACTATAGATATAACAAAACTAGTGGAATTATGGGTAAATAGTTCAAATAGTTACTGACATGAAAAAATGATCATATTGTGCTAATATATTTTTATAAAAATCAGGTTGCTGGCCAAAATATACAATATAGCATTATAGTTGCATAAATATGCACACATACATATAAACACACACATACATATAAACACACACACACGCACATTTGAACATCTATATTGTTGTAACATGAATTTCTCCAGACATCCTCTTACTAATTGAATCACACACTGTTATAAATCATAAAACTTTACAAGTTTAATGTTCCTGGCAGGAAGCTGGCTCCTGTGAAGCTCTTACAATCTTTCTGACATACCCAGTGTGACCTGTTTTAATTTATGCTCTCTATCTTTGACCACTTTGGGGATACTGCTCACTGTTCTTGCTCCAGGAGACTGTGTCACCTTTGACACTTGTCTTGGCTTCTGCAACTCCTTTTTTTTAAAAAAAGATTTATTTATTCATTTTATCAGAATACACTGTTGCTGTCTTCAGACACACCAGAAGAGGGCATCTGATCCCATTACAGATGGTTGTGAGCCACCATGTCGTTGCTGGAAATTGAACTTAGAACCTCTGGAAGAGCAGTCAGTGCTCTTAACCGCTGAGCCATCTCTCCAGCCCAGCTTCTGCAACTCCTAAAACAGGAAGAGATAGGATATTCTTGACATTTTGAAATTATGTGAAATTCAATTTCCATAATAAAATTTTGCTGGAATTTAGCTATATTCCTTCACTCAAATGTTTTCAATGGCTGATTTCACATTTTAATGGCACGATTGAATAATCAGAAAATCATATGGCCAAAAACCTCTTTGTGTACATTTTGAAAAATTTATTGACCCCTACTCTATAACATTTTTTTCACATCCATCCTGTACAACAACATAAAGAACTTGAAACTTTCCATCAAGAGTTTCCAGTACATCTGAATACCATTTTAGCTTCCCAAAATATTCAAGAGTATGACATTTAGGTTTTACCAGTTTTTCATCGTTTTCCTGCCTGATGTTTCCAATAATCAACATGTGATGCTCTTATAAGGAGAGAATAAAGGACAAATGCTGACTCTGAGCTTGTCAAAATTCCACAATACCAGCCATACAGAAAGTATTAGGAAGTCTTGAAAGGTGCTGAATGTTTCTATATTCCATTAATAATAGTGATGATAATAATAATAATAATCTCTATGCTTTTAGAGATTTCATTTAAGATTGTCTAAAACATAATTTTCTGTTACTTCCCCATAAAAATATGGTGCCTTGTTTCATGAAATATATAAAAAAAGCAATCCAACCCATACTAACTCTAGCTACGTTCTGGCCTCTCTCGCTGCCTCCATGGCTAGCCCCATGCAGTGACTGCCCATCTTGCTGTTCCCTGACCTGGAGCTCCGAAATCTCTTCACCTAGCTCACTAAGTTCCCACTGGCAAGTCACTACCACACCAGCTCCAAGCTTCCAAGTTCCCATGGTCTCTTGGGGTGTACTTCCTGCAAACTCTTTCAAGAACAGTACAGGTCTGCAGGAGAGACAGGCAATTTCTGCCCAGTGGCCACCTAGCCACAATGTACAGCCTCACCTGGAGGAGAGATGCTCAGAAGCTTCTTTGAATCCACAAATGAGGTGCTGTTAGGAGCAGAGATTCTCAACAACAAGTGAATAATTTATCTTAAATGTCACAGTCTCTGAATTTCTGACATTTTTGAAAACTATCTATGTAAAGTAATCTGGACTGTTGTCCATTAACTACTCTCAGCTATTTCTAATTAAATTATCTTGAAAATATCCTAACAATTAACTCAGAGCCATGAATTTGTTATCTGGCCCTTAATCATCTCAGATCAGTTTGTAATGGCATTTATAGAAGGACTGGGTCCAAGCCTTGAACTTTTAAAATTTTTGTGTCAATAGAAGAAATTAATATCAATGAAAACCTTGAATCTGCATCAAAATAAATTCTGTGCCAAAATGAAAAATTATGACTTCAACTTAGTAACTATTGTGAATATTTTTACCAAATGAGATTATGGCTACACAGTTCTAGCTATTTCCACTCTGTTCAAAATATAACCATTTCTAAATTCCCCAGAAAGATAACTTAGAATAACCATCTCCAGACCCTCAGGTTCATGGCACTGGGGTGACAACTCTTCATAACCACTTCCAGCTGAATATGGACATTGAGATATCTTTGAAGGGATGGGGAGGAAGAGTAGGGAAAATGGGGGAGTTGGTTGGCCTTAAGAAGGCCACACCAAGGATTATTTTAATCTCTGATGTCTATATCCTGACTGGATCTGGTTGAAAGTCTTTGAGATTAGGAGTTCAAGCAGGTCAGTTCAACATGTCTGATGATGAGACTCACAAATGTTATATAGTCTGTAATATACAAATCTCAA